TTTTGGTACACGAGGCGTGAATTGCAAATCGTGTGAAAACGGTCGGTCGGAACGGAACGGTATTAAATAACGAAATAATTTTATTCGTTTTTTGCTTCACGTGGAATATCTTCAAATTAGTTGCACGCGCGGTATCAAGCAGCTACGCGCAATTCTCGCACCTCTTTGCGTGTATAATGAATCGATCGTTTTACAAACCTTTGATGAAAGCGGACCTCTCACTGGAGCCCTCGGGGGTCGAAGAAAGGGTAGAGGCAATTAGTCTCCCTAGGCAGGAAAGTGATTTCCGCACGGTCGACTTCTCCGAAGACGTGCACTTTTATCGAGCTGACGATGCTTGACACATTTTCAGCAGTGCTTCGAGGTTCCTCGTCATTCCCGGCCCGTCACTCTCACCCCCTCGCGTTCTCCCGAATCCTTAGTCCGTCGGCAGGGCCGGGTTGTTCAAACAAAGTCTTGTCGGGGATCTCATTTTTTTGCCAATTATGTCAACTACAACATTTTATTCTTCGGTTACAGGATTGTACGGTTCATTTTAACACACCAATTGTTCGTTGCACATTGAAGTACTACTACCTGCACTACCTTCGTGTGTTTACGCGCACTTAATATTGTTATATACTGGGATATCTTTCCCGGCGGAACTGACGGTAATCCTGCAGAATTCGCTTCTCTTCGGAACGTACCTCCCGTAACTTATTCGCATTTAAATAGTGCGATAGAAAACGCAACCGATTTCCGAAATGAAATGACGGTTCCCTCTTTCTCTCCTGCTCTCATTCATCGTGTTCACAACTTAACAACTTGATTTATTGCGATTGTTATAGACACACTTCTCCCTTCGCTTTCATTTACCTCGTTCCCGTCTTCCCAACTTCAACTGGGTTTCTCCCGATTTGCTCTCTCGAAATAACGTTATTTCGGCAAACTGTTTCTCAAGGTTTTATAATCTGCTGCACTGGCTTTCCGACGGGTTTTGCGTAGCAACAGTCGGACGAACGGAAAAAGTCACTCCTTTTAAAATCGCACCTTCGACTCGCCATCAAACCCCGAGCGTCTGCGGAGGCACGTAACCAATTCCCAGCAGCTTCTTCTTTCGTTCGCCCCGGGAGATTAGACTTTTGCTGCATAGTTCACTATGTTGCCTAAGCCGAAGAGAAAATTGTATAGACTTTCGGGATTCTCTCTGATCATCTCTCGATTCTACCCGAGTTTGCTCTCTGTATGTCGTCATAAATCCGATTCCGAGCGGGAGACCGAAAGATTATCTTTCGTGACCACGCGATCCTTCCGCACTTCCTGCAATCCGCGCCTCTTTCGCCGAAAATATCCGCAGCGAAATCCGCGGTAATAACTCAACAGTCGTAACCGATCACATCTCTCGCGATCTCCTACGCGTTACGGAGTCTTCACAACATTCAACACAGCTGAAAACGATTCGTACGACGACGAAGGAGCTCCGTTCCTCTTGAATCTCGCTCGAACGCTCGAGCCATCGCGCGAACGATGGCCAATAATCGCACGATCTCCCGAACGATCGCCGTTCGCGAGCGGCTCTTCCGCCGGAGATGCCGGCGGAAGTACCAACGGAAGGTACTGCTGGAAGTATGGCCACTCTGGACGGTTGAGATGCGCGCGACCGAGCTTTCCTCGAGCGTTCGACGAATCCAGAACGCGTGTGCACGCACCTACGTGATCAATTGGTCCGGTTGCGACCGTAGCACGTGTGCTTCATTAAACGGGCGCCGCGCGTATTTGGTCGTACAACCGGATGCACCGTGCACGCCGGACTCCCCACCAGGCGTGGACCACCAGTCGTCGCACCGATCTGTTGCCTTCACCCCCGCTCTCCGCTTCTCTTCTTCGCACCTTCATACATCTCCCTCCTTCCCCCCCTCCCCCACCTCCTCTCTCTTTCCCACGCCTCTGCTTTTGTTGGACGCGATGTATGTTCCCATTATTGAAGGGGCTCTATATGTACACCCTTCGGCATCGTTATCCGTTACTCTCTCTCTCTCTCTCTCTCTCTTTCCCTCCATTAATGGAGTCGCGTGTTTACGTCTTACTACTTTATTTATTTTTCGCCGCGATTTACCCCTTAAGAATCCTCGTCTCCGGACGGAACAAATCTCTCTCTCTCTCTCTCTCTCTTTCGTTTTCGCGGAATCCTCATCTTGTTCTCTCTCCTTCGTTCTCTCCACGCTGTCCTCTGTAAAATGCGCGTGTAAGCGGCACGCAGCCGCACAAGGCTACAACTTTCGCTCATGTACCACACCAGAGCGAAACTATATTCGTGGATAACGCCTCTCGCTCCCGATTGGCACGAGCTCCGACAACTCGACCACGCCCCCACGTCATCTGTGTGTAAGTATCCCTCTCTCCTTGTGGAAATATATATTATATATATATTTATATATATATGCGCATGTATGTATATATATATATATACAGTATATATATATATATATATATACATATATATATATATATAACTCTTCGGATTTTCCTCTGTCTGCGTCTCTCCGACACACTCCTCTTCCGTATCGTCGCGCGAACATCTTCTCGATTTCGCGCTCGTTTTTAATAAGGGGATGTTTTAACGCGAAACCATTCGTGCATTTTTCGCATCGGGGAACGATAAAAGTTCGTACTGCTGTTGCAAATTTCCGTTAAATCCAGTGATGATTTGTGAAACTGGATGAAAATAAGACAAGCATTGGAAGTTATCCGAAATGTGCTTTTTATAGATCCGCATTCGTACAACGCATTTAGCGCTAAGCGCGACTGAAACGCAGGGGTACATTGCGTTAAATGCAACTAAAGCAGTTGATACATTATTCAGAATTTCGATGTTAGAATTTTTCAGAGAACAATTGTTGTGATTGACCGACAAAAACGACAGAGACAGGTTTTCTCTCTCTATTTTGATGTCAGAAATGGTCCTGTAAATCCGTATGTTTTTTTTTTCGGTAATAGTCGAAATACAAACATAAATGCTGATTTCGTCGTAATGACAATCTCTTACATCTGTTTACGTACTCGATTTTACAATTATCGATTATTAAAAATTTTATTACGCAAAGAACAGTATATCATATAACTGCAGGAAACTTAATAACATGTTATTTGAGTTAATTCACTCACAGTGGAGAATAATTACAAAATAATATAACATGCTCGAAATGCTCGAGATGCTCGAAAATTTCCTCGACTACTTTCAAGTGAAACTTTTCTGCTTTTTAATTGCGGTGTTTTTCTGATTTTACTGAAACTCGGGGAAAATATGTATGTTATAGAAGAAACATTTTGCGATTCTTTTTCTTATATTTTTTCTCACAATAAATATAGAAACGAGACGCATGATCAACTTATCCTTTATGTAAACCCCTTTAGTCTTCTTATTTTATGTTAAAATTTAATTTTTTATAAAATCGTCAGTCTGCAAACACGTTTGTAGTCTTTAAGCATTTTTAACGCCCTGTTAATCACAAAAATATGTCTTAAATAATAAGAATAATAATTAATATAAATTATAATTTTATTTATATTTTAATATATATGTTATATATTTAGCTCTATGTTATTTAACTTGTTTATCATATTCACATTTATTTAAAATTTGAACAAAACTTTTAGTTTTTACGAAATCGCCAAGTTTTGCGTCTTCGTCGAAACTTATTTTTACGACATTAGCTTGGAAGATGCGTTTGTCCTTGAATGTCAGGTAACAATGGCATCAACACCTGTTCTATATTTTAAAAAAGCGAACAATGAAGACATTCCTTCGCAAAGGATACCCATGATCAATCATTATGTTACAATAGGTAGGCAGTTTTCAAAAATTTCCGGAACTTTTTCTTGTTAGAAGCTGAAAACTACTTTCTAAATGGTTTTGGTAAAATTCGGGATAGTACAATAAAATTCCTTGCTATTTTAAATTGATAAATAATAAAAATAAATTCACGCTATTTCACAGTTAACTCATAACTATATATCACATAAGAGAATATATAATCATAAAGAGAATTTATATCGACTACTATTTATTAGAATTATATTATACTTTTGTTACGTTTGCAATTTATTGTTACAATATAATAAAATAATTTAATGTTGTGCCATAATATTAAAAAAAATAGACCTTGTTTTGTAAGTAGAAATGGTCACGAGTCGTATCGGAGGCTTTGATTCTTGAAATCAAATATTTCAGCAGATTCATAGTGGCTCGTTATATTAAGAAAATCACTTGTCAATTCTGATTTATTCTCTACATTCATTTTTATTTCGAGTAATATAATATAATTAAATATTTATTATTATCACTATAATTATTATTTGTTATTCTGTGTTTTCTACTTTTGTTCTTTCAGCTACTGATTGACTGAAAAGAAAGAGAAATATTCAAATCAAATATTTCCTCTCTTCGTCATACATCAACTCACGTTCCCTAGTCAAAACCTCAACCGATTGAAATCCTAGTTACTTCTGATTATGGGCTTTATATAAAAAGTCTGTTCTTCTTAACTGCACTTCCTAAATTATTTCATAATTTTTCTGTTATTTCTTTTTGCCGCCAAATATCAAATATATACCTACCTTATTTTAAGCATAGATGGTGTATAATTTTTAAGTCGGTATTCATAAGGTCTGTTCATTTTGTTGAACTAGTGCTGCACTGGAACTTTGGGTGTTTCTTTTCCTTTTTCAACGCTAGATTATATACTTATTTGCCACTGTAAAGGCAAAAAGTGTAATTTAGTTCGGCTAAAATGAACAAACCTATAGTACGATTTTATCTGTAAGATTATCTTAAATTTATTTTAACATACTATGTAGCCAAGGAAATAGTCCTTACAGCATCTGAGGATGAAATTAAAGTGATTATAACACCGGACTATGAACACACTTTAACACAACTATAAAGAACAGACCTAAACTACTTAAATGTGTTTCACAGTGTTGCACATACGAAAGAAGATAGTACATACTGTAAACGAAAGCTAAATTTCTTTGAAGTATATTTTCCTAAGCTGAAAGTATTGGAGAATTGTTATATCATAATATCAAAAAATATTCATTAAAGAGGCCCGAGGTAAGCTCTGCAGAGAGAGAAATATGTTTCAGAATATACATACATATTATTAAGAAAATGTGGATAACCTATATGATCTTTACATAGCCTCATATATATAACGCTTCATTACACAGAATGGATAAAAATAAAAAAATAAAGCACGCTCAGAATCTTGAAAAAAATAATTTAAAACGTATCTTTATAGTATAATTAAACAAGTAATAAAATGTGTGTCAAGTAACCATTAATAATTATTAATGTCATTTGTAGGTTGAAAGAACAATTCAAACAAAAAAAGGAAAAATTAGTTACACAACTTGCATTAATAGATATGAGTGACAAGCAGAAAGTTCTCATCTGCGGGGACGTGGAGGGGCATTTTAATTTTCTGTTCTCCAAAGTGGATGCTATCAATAAGAAGAGTGGTCCATTTGACTTCTTACTATGTGTTGGCAATTTCTTTGGCAAAGATAATGCCGAATTGAGACCTTATACATCCCATGAAAAAACTATCCCAGTTCCTACGTACATCATAGGAGCTAACAGAGAATCGGACTTGAAGCATTATAGCGATGGGGATGGATATGAGATATGCCAAAATTTGACCTTTCTTGGCAAACGTGGTCTCTATACCGCTAGTTCAGGTCTCAAAATAGCGTACCTCAGTGGAATTGAGAAAGTCGCAGATGAGGACAAATCCGTAAGCTTCAACGAACAAGACATTGTAAGCATCAAGAACAGTTGTTTAAAAGGTCAACCGAGTTTTCGTGGAGTAGACATTTTGCTGACATCACCATGGCCTGATGGTATCATCAATCTTGACCCGAACAACCCAAAACACAAATATCAAGGTTCAAAATTAATTGCCTGGCTCGCTACTCATGTTAAACCTAGATATCATGTATCAGCTTTGGAAGGGATGTATTATGAGCGGCCACCTTACAGGTAAATTTCTCCCTTCAGCAAATTTTAAACATGTAAACGCAAGAGAACAATATCTTACTGATGTTATTCTTGATATGTAAAAAATTATACATATAGAACACGAAAAATTATTAATTCATTTAATAATTTGAGGATTTAAGTTACAAATCAATTGAGACAGCATTGCTGTCGAATATTGCTACTTGAAATTTCCTCATTACAGAAATCAAAGTCAAGGTGAAGGAAATATCGAAATAGCTACTAGATTCATAGCTCTGGCGCCGGTGATGAACGTTCATAAGAAGAAATGGTTGTACGCGTTGAATCTAACTCCCGTCGATCGAACCAGGCTGTCGGATTTAGTTATGAAAACGACAGACGAGACTCCGAGCCCCTTTCCCAGATCTATGCTCTCCGAGGACCCGACATCACAAAAGCAGAGTCACATGCAATTCTTCTACGATGTAGATTCGAAGGAGAGCGGAAAGAGATCGTGGCACCAGAATGACGGTCCCAATAAGAGGCCAAAGATGGAATTCGATCAGTCGAAATGCTGGTTCTGCTTGTCCAGCCCGGTGGTGTCGAAGCATCTCGTCATTTCGGTCGGCACTGAGATTTACTTGGCGTTAGCTAAGGGCGGTCTGGTGGAAGACCATTTCTTGATTCTGCCGATCACGCATCATCAAAGTCTGTCGATTCTACCGAAGAATGTGAAGGAGGAGATGGATCTGTACAAAAAGGCAGTAACCAAGTACTATGAAAGCACGGATAGAGTACCTGTATTCTTCGAGAGGAACTTCAAAACGTCCCACTGTCAATTGCAAACAGTGCCGGTTCATAAAAATCAAGCACCTGCGTTGAAGGAAATGTTTGAGGTACTTATCTATTTTTATCTTTCTCTTCACGATATATACGTATATTGGGTGAATTGCATTAAGACGCATCTGCTGTCTCTACCTTTTCAACAGCTATTGTTAACTACGACTATTACTACAGCTATCTCGTCGGCCACGCGACGTTTGTGTGCGCTGTGGCTCGATGCCATCATTGGCATTACTGTATGCAATATCTGTTATCTAATGTACGTCATTATTTTTCTTTACAGGAGTTGGCCGAATGTAATAATTTTAAAATATCGGAATTACCTCCGCACACGAATTTGCAACAAATCGCAAAACCTGGCGTCTTGTACTTTTACGCAGAATTACCAAGCGGAGAAATATTGTATTATAGGATTAAGAAAGATTTTCCGCTGCAGTTCGGCAGAGAAGTATTAGCATCCGACAGGATATTGGACATCAATGATAGGTCCGATTGGAAGGATTGCCATATGAGTCAAAATGAAGAGGTTGAACTAGCAAAGAAAATTAGAAGACAATTTGCCTCCTTTGACATAGACATTTGAGAACTTTTACTGCTATCTTTTTATTAAAATGATGTATATATGCTTACAAAGTACTGTTTATAACCGTTATTTATTTGTACCTTGATTTTTATATATCAACAATCAGTATACATGTATAAAATGTGTAAATAGCTTAGATATACACAAATATGGCACAAACAAAATCATCTGAAAAGATTAGTTTTATACTAAAATCGTTGACTATATTGATACACCGTTTGCCTGATACTTTAATTCGTGATCATTTGGAGTCAGCGATGGATCTAGTCCACATTGTTTCATCTGAACTGCAACGTCCAGCAAGTAGTCGTAACATTCGGTCCTACGAACAATACGAAATCAAAAACGAAGAAAATACGTTGTCGCAATATAAAAACAACAATTGGAAACATCTGAATAAAAGAATGGCTTACATAGTTTTTGCCTGTTGCCAAGAATCACCCCAGACATAAATTCCGTGTCTGCGTACCAATACCGCACAAGTTTCAGGATAACGAACCATAGTTTCAGATAAACTATCCCTCAAGTCTCTTTCAAAAGGAGTATTTTCTATGATGGGAATTACCAATTCCTCGTCGTAGCGGTAATATTTATTCTCTTTTTGATTCCATATTCCTGCATTGGTGGGACCGTTTACATTAAACATGATTTATGTCATATCTAAATCATAATACTATTTTTTTGGTTAATATTCCAATTTTACTGTAGTTTTTAAAGCAAGAAAAATTCTTATCAAAGTTTTAATATATCAAATAATGTCAGTACATTGTTCAAACTAACGTATTTACAATAATTGGAAAAGTTCTTAATATGCGTACCTTTTATCATTTCAAGGTGAGTGAGTTTAACTTCTCTCCCAGGCCACAATAGTGTCGCCATCACAGCAAATTTAGAATGTGTATGTATCACAGCGCCCGCATTCCTCATTGAATAAGCACACATAAATAATGGAGTACACTGCGACTTTTTCAATTTCTTTTCTAATGGTGGTAGTTCCAGATCTTTTCCATCTATATCTTGTACAAACATATCATTTGGCAACATACGTTCTTTTTGTACACCAGAAGGAGCTATGTAGATTTTATCCCTGTAGTAAAATGTTTAATTGTACTTACTTTTAATAATACGTTAGTAATACTAATATACAAGATTAACAGGACTATTATGAAAAATCATCTTTATCGCAGATACTAACTCATGTTTTATTGATATACCACCACCTGTACCAGTCACCCATCCAAGATGATAGAACTGTCTGCATAATTCTGGTATAAGATTTCTTGGGTGCTCCTATGTAAAAGGTTAACATTATTAAAATAATGTGATGAGTACAATTCTAAAAATTATTTCTTATATAATATACTACCCAGACAGCACAATGCTCAAAATTGGGACATGTCTTAAAAACACAAGATTTTGGATATTGTGTTGTCTGAGTTCGTTTAGATATATCATTCTCTTAATTCACATATGGGTAGAACAAAAGCTGTTTAACGAATTGCTATTCGAAAATAAAAATTAGATTTATTAATTGGATATTGTGCGTTAAATTTATTAATAAATCTATGTATTTATGAAAGTTAAAAAATATTTAATTATATACGTATTTACAAGTATTATTTTGCACGTACCTTGCCATAATTAGCATCGTAAACTTCTGACATTTTTGTTAGTAAAATGAATACTTTACCTAATTATCAAAATCTAACATTTTATAAATACACCCGTTATCTGTTGATAACAGCAAGTAAGTATGCGTCAACCTACCTAAGGGCAGTGTTCACAATTCAATTTTGTAAGATCGGATTACGAATACTGCTTTTTTCTTAGATCAGGCCTATAATAATAGATATAATCACATTATTCCTAATTCACATTCTTAGTATTTAATATTTAATATTTATTCTTAATATAATTCCATTGTACACAAGGCCTTGAGCCGCAAGAAATTGACCAATCACAATCCGTTATTCTTCTCACATTTGACTGCGACTGGTCAATTTCTTACAGCTTATAGCTTACTATAGCCGAGAATCCACCTTATTTTGATGTTTTTTAGAATGTCATATTATGTTCCTTGCACACACACGAATATGCTAGATAACACACAACCTTTGACAGGAATTTATAACGTCAACGCGACCAGTGCATATTAGTATTTCAATGTTTAATGATAGACGTAAATTAGTACTATGACAAAGATAAAATATCATAAAGGAGCAGTGTATAAATAATATAGAAGAATTACAATATCGCCAAAGTTATATATGATGGCTGCTTGGATCAGTATAACTCCAAAGTAAGTATATTTTACTCTTATATCTATTGTTAATATGCACACACACACACACCACACACACACACACATATATGTATATAATATTTTCTACAATTAATCATTGTTATTCTTTAATGATTGCATCTCTCCAACAGACTAGAGCAAGGTTTAAAAATAGTGAGTCGCGTGGATAATAGCAAATTCCGGCTTCTAGTCAACCGTATATGTCAGAGCTTACAATCTAGTATCGATACAAAGGTATTCAGTGAGGAAGAGGAAGAGAAATTGCTAGTTTCTTTAGATTTGACAAAAGATGAATTAACTCTCTTACTGGATACCGTAACATCGATTTATACACAAGCTGCGTGTAATATTGTCAAACCGTCTGTCATGGAAGCAGTTATGAGAGATAATTTGAAGATAGACGATGAGAAAATATCGATCTTTACAAACGCATGGATGACCTATGGAAAGGGCATTGTGGAGAATCTGAGGCAAAAGTCTATTTTTCCTACACAGGTATGTTTAATATGTAATTCTGATGATTATATATGGTTATAGATAAAGAAAAAGTATTTAGTTATAGCTTAATTAGTATCTGCATTTTTCGTGGTAGATTGGAAAGAATTAGTTGTATTATATTACTTATTTACTCCAGGTAAAAGACATCAATTGGTGTCTGAACGTTCAATCGTCGTCCTCTACGATTTCCAAAGATGCACGACCCGTAGCGTTACTTCAACTAGGTCTTACCGGTGATAAAACATCCACTTTAACTGTGGAATTTGACAAGAAGCAGTTGACGAGTCTCTATTACAATTTAGAAAAGATTCAGACCCAATTAGATGCTCTTAACTAATAAGACCAATATATCTTGCGTATACATTTATTGTAAATAGATAATAACTGGTCGCGTAAAAATAGATTCTTCGATCTTTATACAAATTATATATATATATATATAATATATAATATATATAATATATTATATATAATATATAATAAATTATATATATATATACATGATATAAATCCATTGTGTATCCTTACATACTAACTCACACAGAATTAAAACTATGGAAAATCGCAAAAGAGCACAGTATCTGTATTATGTGTAATATGTACTAATTATGTGATATTACATTCATAAAAAATTTAAAAAATTCCTATAAAAATTTGTGTATAAAATATTCACTTTCTTTCGTAGCTGTTTCCAAAACCGAAGTAAGTGCGTTCCAAATAACGTATATGTCTAAGAGACGTCTTTGGACGTTTTAATGTTATTTGGGATGCCTTTCCTTTCTCATATTTTCTCTTACATCCACGTTTTTTTACTTTCTCTGATACACAAGCGATGAAACGTCTCGTATCAGCAAAAATCACGCGTTACAGTCCATCGTTCTCATACACCTTGGCCGTCCTACGAATCTTCTCCGCGCGATTGTGAACGCGCGGACTTCGATTCGGCAGGATGCTGTCGATACTCGACGCAACACTGTTCTCTACGGTCGAAAATGGAAAATCTATCTTCCCCGAGTTCTCAGCGTATCTATTGTCGTAACATGTTGCGCTCCGTTTTCTTTCACCTGAGGGTAAGGTTTCCAGGATCTCCGGTGTCTTGCGGATAAAAATACGCGCCTTGCACACCACCAGCACCACGACTATAATCATCAGGAACAGGATCATGGCGGTTAGAGCACCCACGATCCATCCCAGTTTCTCATCTGTACGACACAAGAGGAACGTTGGATTATAATTATCGTCGGATCGATAGAGAAGAAGGTGGCTCCTCTCTTGTATAGGTATTATAATCTTCCTTAATCAATATTTCACAACTTCAGTCTAGAATCGATCGTGTGTGTGTGTGTGTGTGTGTGTAAACAACATTTTAACAAATCCTTAAGTTTCCATCGTCAAATCTTGATTGTGGACAAAATTATTGGGCAAAATGTAAATATGTATGTAATGGGGAGGGATTATATAATACCACCTCTTCTTCTCTACGAACAAGTAAGATTTTCTAACGAACGTATTTTGCAGCGAACCTGCCAAAGTATTCAGCAGAACAAGCGTAGCGCTTCCTATCTCGATCTCGGCGTTCTCGTTGGCGAGGGTAAACCTGCAGGTCCATTGTCCCAGGTCGGAGTGATCCGGCTTGAAGACCAGTTTACACATGCCCGTGGCGTAATCCATTTGCACGTTGTGCCTGCGCCGCGATAGAAACGGGAAGTGAGGTGAATAAGACCGGGCGCATTACGGCGATAGGGCGCATAACGCGCGTTACCTCGTCTTCTTCGCGAGCTTGCTCGAGTTCTGGTGTATGTGAACGTTCGGAGCGTGTATCCAGTGGCATTCGACCTCGGACGATGCGGATCCGACTCTACACGCGAGAGTAACCATCTGATGAGGCGCGGCCCAAACCGCGACCATGACCGGCTCTAAAAATGACCGATGTCCGTTGATCGTTATCGAAATTAACTCGCTTTCCTCTCGACAGGTTCGCAGCCCCGGGCTGCGGCTGCGGATCTGCACGATTTCATGTTTACTCGTTTATTTTCTCGCCGGGAAATCTCCCATACAGTGTGCTTTGTCTCGAGGATATTGCAATTCTGAATCAAATCTCTGTGTATAATTCGAGCATTTCTCCGCGTTAAATTCACGAGCATTCGTCGATACAACGCGAACCTCGTCAAGAAACGTGAACTCCTCTCGAGAGTAAAAACCCATCCTTTTCTCGTAAATCTTTTCCATCGTCCCACTCAAGATCTTCGGTGCGGATTATCCGATGAGCGAGCCATCTCGGCTACCAACCACCATTCGCTTGTGCATCGATGACTTTTGTGACTTGATAAGAGTGCTAGAATCGCGTTAGAGCGTGCAGCGCCGATTTCGCGTGTGTTAATCGCATGTGTCGCCCTCGGAAGGAAACATCCCGGGCGCCAGATTCGTCGGAGGTTCGCGTATCTGTTTCCGTGGAAGGAAATATCGCGACACACTGATATCCCGGGAATGTGAAAGCAGCAGTTCGATTAGTTTTTTCAAATACTACGATCCAACATCGACAGTCACTTGATCGAACCGACGACTACTCGGATTCTTCCGTAAGATTAACAGCCTTCTGAGAAACTAGCGCACGCGATGTCTCGTTTCGAGACATCTCGAGTGAACCGTCGAGATTCGCTTCGTGCACGTGTTCAAGATCCGTTCCGATCATGGCAGCCCGTCACGCTTGACAGGTTCTTCCAGGTTTCTTCCAAGCTTCTCCAAGCGAATGGAGTTTCGAGTGCAGACAGTCATCTATCCATACAGCATAAATGTCCGAAGGACATTTTACACGGAGAAACATAGCTTTCTACTGCTGAGAAAAGTGATTACTTAGTTACTTCCTTCTTTCAAATAACAATTATCATTCAACAAAGAATATTTTCTCGATAATAGCTTTGAAATACACACATTAGAATTTTGAGAGAAGCTCGCCGTTAAAAAATATTTCATATATAATTATATATATATATATATTTGCTTTAGATGTCTTCGCGGGATGTCTCCGAGACATTTTAAACAAACACTTATGCTGTCTGGGTGTCAGTCCGGAATGATGGAAATGAGGAGGCCGCAGTGACGTTTTCGCACACTATTATTTATTTATGGACAAAAACAGCTTACAGCATCTCGGAGCGCTCTTCTCACAACGCTCGAGAACGCGCGGATACTTGGCGCGGGGACTTAGCGATACTTAATGGCACATGAAGATTCATACGCTCCGCGAGTAAGTCGCTGCTCGAGTTCGATCACACTTCTGACGGCAAAGCCTTGATTCTTTATGAGAGCAATCGCCCTATGATCCAACTGTGTATGGATGAATTTTACGCTGCATTAAATCGATACACGAAAGTGTGCGGGGAGTGAAGTCGTGGGAGAGAGCGTGTGTGGGTTGAAGTACATCAAGCGATGACACGCGTCTCACCAGAATCGCGGAAGCGATGCGGCCTTTGCTTCGTTAGGCTGTGCTCGGAAATTCTACACTTAGGTGCACCCGTCGAAGCTCGCGCCGTTCGAAAGAAAGGAATGCTGCACGAGATGTACCGTGACAACGGTGATGTTCGGAAACAATTACTGGGCGCACCTCGGGAAGACAGTTTTTCAATCAAGAATAGATATTCTCATACATAAGCAAGAATACTATATAATATTCTTCGAGGAATTTTACTCTTGAGTGATACCTTGCATCGACACGAATTCAATGAAAGATCAAGAATAAAAGGTCTTCTAAGAGGATATTTTCATAATATTCTCGCTGATTTATGAGAATATCTATTCTTGATTTTGGACTGATCTTTTCCCGGAGTGAAACCTACCTCCATCACCATTCACTCTACCTTGCTCTATCCTCAGGATGGTACTTTCCGAACGCAGCCTTCATCGAGCAACGAGCTGAGCGAACGTTACTCGTCGCGAACATGAATTTTCCGGACGCTAAACGCCTTAACTCTAAAAATTGTCTACTTAGCATTAAATGTAGTAACGGCTATAATCGGTGAGTAATAATGAAGTATTCGTGACGGACGCGTGGTGCCAAGGATCAGCCTCGAGCTAGACGACGAAACGCGAACGGATAATCGCGATGTTAAATTGAAGAAGGGGGGGAGGGGTGAGCGCTTTCGGTAATAAATAATACACGAGACATAATGGAAGAAACGCGGTGTGCTCGTGCGAATTTCTCCTGTTATTCGAGTATTTATTACGACGTTCAAGCAACCTTTCGTCTTGGGGAAAATAAAACCGTCGAATCCGGCCTGTCATCGTCCGCAAATTGCTCGAGATATGTACGTATTAAAAGAGTCGTCCCGGGACAACTAAACTTCCGGAAGAAACGATCATCGTCCGTGATCATCGATAGAACCGAACGAGACGATACAAGCCATGTCGCGCAATTGTTATTCAATTGCAGGTGATTTACTTTGGGATCTCTCGGATAAGTCGTCCGGATGAGAAGTTCGACGTGAGAATCGCTCGATCTTAATATCATCTTCTATGATCTAGAAATTCGAAGATAACTTCGTCACAGGTCAAGTTTGCTTTTGTTGCGAAAGATACTTCCGTCCAAAGTGTTTCCCCGCGTAAAGGGACGACCGTTATAATTCTAGCGCGATCGATTCGCGCGCTCTGTCTTATCTAGAGCGACTATTAGCTACGCTAAATGCAAAATCGTTCGAGCATAATCTCGCCGTTAAGAACATAAATAAGATGGAGTGAATGACATCGTTGAATGACGAGTGTTTGACAATAATGGGAGATGTGTGGCTCGACGTGTTGGTTACATCGTGAGGGTGCTCGTCGACTGAAAAGAAATGTACAAAAATAAAAAAAAGGAAATCTTGCCCGACGTTCAGACGGAACGCAAAACTCGGCATCCTTAGATGGGACCTCTCGCGCGCTGAAAGCAGCGAGAGAACGTAACGTAGGGACGGAGGAGTCGGAAGGGCCAGAATGGCTGATTTATCAAGATAACCGTTTTATGCCTTGAATTTCTCTTTTATGTAACCCGCTGAGCGTCTTGTGTCAGCACAAATTTCTAAAAGGTGTCTTAATGACACTCGAAAGCCGTTTTATATTTTTCAGTCATTTTTTAGAGAGCCTTGCAGAAATCTGCGCTATCTGAGAACGTGGAAAAAAAATTAGCCTCAATTCAAGACTCCTGTATAAGCAATAGTACATCATTTTATACGAAGATAAAATTCGTGTTTACACGAAGAAATTCTGTACAGTTACGCGAAAAATATCATGTTCCGCTTATTCAAGAAGAATTTTCATGAATTGAGAGAAAAGAAATATCAGATAGAAAAAATGATATCTTCAAACTAAAAATTGTATCAACTTGAAAATACAAATCTTGAATTGATACGAATTTTTTTTTTTTCGTTGGAGTCTTAAAGTGAAAAGTGACTGATGACAACCGGTGTATAATTGATGAAAAAAGATAAAAAAGTGATAATTTAGACATGGATTTAGGGCATAGCGACATTGTCTTGAGATTTCAATTCAGCCATTCTGCCGAAGCCCCAACTAGCAACGTTGCTCTCGCATGACATTTTACGACGGTCACAATGAAAAACCCGATCGCGGTTGTTTTCCTAGCGGATCTTAGCGTAATCACGCGGGCTGTTAATTTAACGATATGAAACTTATTTAACGTGCAAAGAGTCTGCCATATCCCACCTACAACAACAGTCTTCGGGACGCTCAGCGAGGATCGATCGTCGAGATCGGTACTTTCACTTTCGCCGTGCGCGCGCGCGAATCCTGGCCGATTGGCTTTCCATCGCGGGTATCGAGCACGGATTCTCGCCACTCGGGATACACAAATGTGGGATGATGAGTTATGCACGCTTTGTCTTTCGATTGGACGACGAGAGACAACCTTATACCGTAATACCTATCGGCTCCATGAGTAACGTGACGGCCGATCAGCCTTATCGTGGAGAGATATCAGAGATGCGTACGGAAAATAACAAGAATACGAAAAAAACTACTATCTGCTAGATGTCCAATAAATATTGAGACTCTCTTGAGAATTTAGAATATCGGTTATCGCGATATCCCAAAATATCTGTAGGAGAAACGTCCCTCGGATAAAGTGTGGAATTTTTCAATAGTATACCAATTATTTTTTCGTATTCTTGTAGTTTTGTTTTTTTTTCGCACGGGTCCGAGAAGCAAACTAGTTGAAAATGGTCTGTTTTGGTAAAATGGAATCTCCGATACGGCTTGATGAAGAAGAGCATCTTGGGAGCGTGAAGTTTCGGTTTACCGCGACACGAGGTCGTCCAATCGATGCTCATGCCGCGAGGCTTCGTCCGATGTGTTTACCGTAGATCGCAAATAATTGCGAATCCATGGTCTACACTAAAGTACACGCTCGGGCGACGACGGGTGCAAAGTTCACGCGCGGCTCGCCTTAAGTGCGCGGCTTGGTTGGGGCCTGAGCGGAATGGCTGACATCAATTCGAGATATTTTCTCCCTCAAGTCTTTGTCTTAAATAATGCATAATAACCGTCTTGTGTCTGGAGTACTGAAAAGCCGTTCCTCTTCGTGATCGATGACAAACCGCTGTGTGTAATAAAAAAATAAAGGTAAAAAAGATGATAATTTAGACAAAGATTTAGGACGCAAAATATCGTCTCGAAAAATTACAAGTCAGTCATTCCATTAAGGTCTCTTATTTGTCAAATAAATCACTGATTCTAAAATTTACGACACACACGTGTGCTCTACGGATTACTTACGGTAACGCTACCGTAGATAACGATTCCGATCGATCGGTGAAAACTCGACAGGAGGGCGATCGAAGATTTGACGTAAGAACGGCTGTGCACCTTTATGGCAATTTAAGGACGAAGGGCGGAAAATCTGCAGATTTAAGAAACGGAAGGGAAAAGAAAACAAGAGAAAGACGCGTTTTCCGAAGCTGCCGTCTCTCGTCGCCGGTCAAATTCGCCGAGTTTTATGAAGCAGACTTCTGACCGGTGCCAAAGGACACAAAGTCCTTCCGCACGCGATGGCACGCGTACGCGAGATCCTTGGGGCGCGCGAGGTCTTTCCCACGGTATCTTGTGCGATGAAACGATCGGTGAGCTCGATGAGGCGCGATGTGGCGTGACAAAATGACCGTCCGTTTCGGGCGTTTCAGGATCGGATGGATCAGACTCCCCCACCAGATCCAGGTAATTGTAGAAAGCAAACCTTGATGGGACGTTACCGCTGGCTCGCGATACGCATCCGTTCCGCGCGAGCACGATATCTGGAGAGAACGAAGATCTCCACACGGAAATGAAACTCCCGTTGTATCAAGTAGGATGTCCAACAGTGCGCGTAATTGGAGTCAATCTTCTTGATTCAATGAAACTGATATTTGAAAAACAATACCGTGTAGTACCGTAATTCGATTATCCAGCTAAAGTGGAGGAAAAAGTCATATAAAAAATGATATTTTCACGTCATCCTGACTTTTACTCCACTTGGGAAGTACAGTTGGCGTCGTTTACGCTCTATCATTCCCTGGATCGAAAATTACATGATTTCCAGTCTTACACGATTTTCAGCCTCACATATGGTGCGCATAAGCCGTCAGAACCGTCTTAGAAAATTAAAATTAATATAATCTTATAATTACAATTAAAGTTACTTATACGATTTTCAATCTTACGGGTCCCTTTATAAGAAACGGAAAATCGTGTAATTTTTCATCCAGGGATGATACACGACGCCGATCGTATGATAATTCTAGCTGTAGTGGATCTGACTATCGACAATTTCGACGGTTACGTGTGTTTGCGGAAAGCTAAAAATGGCATGATAATAAAAAGTTTCACAGTCCGGATTTACCCTGATCGCATTAATAAACGCTACTATGCGAACAGCGAGTAACACAATTGTTAGTCGTAATTTCCCGCACGACTCGTGTCATATACTCGCATTCACGTTGCCGAGTGGGAAATAATGAGCAACGGTTACTGTCACTTGATATTTGCCGATAACATTGTTATTGAATGAAGAAGATTAGCCCCAATTGCGGCTGGAGATTCAGTCGACGCAACAGAAGCGTTTACCGCGATGATCGCCGTGCTCCACCCTTCACCGTGGCGGCGCTAGATCGTCTTAGGCCGAGCTACTCGACGATACCTGGCTCGAGGAGGCTCAGTTTCGCGGGCGGCGCGTCCGTGTAGTTCTGCCGGCCGCGTATCCTGGCGCCGCAGGTCCACAGTCCCTCCTGCTCGGCGAGAGCGTGGCTGAGACGGACGCTGCAGTCCCGCGCCTCGTTCCCGGCCGCTGGGAACTGCTTCACCACCACCGTGGTGTTGGAGTTCACCGGCGTGAGGGACCAACGGCACTGCTCCACCGCCGAGGACGTCACGCAGCGCAGCAGGACGCTGCCGCCGGACGAGATCTGGATGTCCTGCGACAGCTCCGAGAACTTCACCTCGTCTGGAAGAAGAATCGTCGCGGTGACACGAGCGCGCTGAACGGGAAAACAGGCGCTCTCTCGAACTTTCCCAGAGCGAATCACTCGGATCTTTCGCTCGTAGTGGAGTCAATTTCGAACAGTCGAGTGAGTATTTTCGCGTGAAGAGCGAATCTGACCGATCCTCACTGTCGGAAGCGTTCGAGTCGACTGAAACGCGTATGGTGGTAATCCACTCCAAGCTTGAGTGGAACATCCACTCACTTGCGGTTTCGAGCGGCGCTATTTTCCCTAGCGAGAGAGAAAATACTTTTCACTCGACTTGCGTGAGACTCCACTCCAGGAACTTTCGAGAGTGAGAGTCAGGGTGCCGTTGGACGCGCTCACCTTGCTCGAAAACCGTGAGCTTGACGGGCGGCGACGTCAGGACGGTGTTGAGCGACGCGATCGACACCTGGCAGCCCCAATGACCCTGCTTCTCCGTGTACGCATGCGGAAGATGCAGCGAGCAGTCGCGACCGAGGTCGCCGCTACTTGGGAACTCCTCGACGACGATCTCAGGGTCGCTGCTGTGGAGCGGCCTCCAGCTCCAGGCGCATTTCTCCACGCGGCTGCTGGTGACGCATTTCAACGTAGCCTCCGTGCCTACCAGCACCGCCGTGTCCGTTGGCACTTGGGCGAAACTCACCTTAGCTGGAATTAGTCGACGTGATAACGACTCGAGCGATAACAGAATGACGGACGAGACACGAAGCAAGCGGATAACGCGGCCTCTTTTTCTTTCTCTTTGTCGGAGCACGTAGAAAACGCGAGCACTCGTTCGGAGAAACTCTCAACGATAAATGAGCAACGATAAAGCGTTCCACCGATTATCGGTTAAATTCCCGTAATTGATCGTTAAAGGAGCCGGAAACGTAATTAGAGAACGAGGTGTACGCTTTTCGCTCTGAGAGAATATCAAATCGTGGAAACCGCACGGCGAAGAGAATTCGCGTGATAATGAACAACGAGTCAAACGCGTTTTGATCGAACAGAATTCCCACGTGTAAAAATCAAATTTGATTCGTGCACGGAGAAAAATATTCCGCCGACACAGCAAATCGTTACTACTGGGACGGCAAGAAAAATCTGCTCGGGAAGCGAATAGATTTGTTAGGAGCATTAATTTCTATTTTCCGAAACGGCGGAATGACTTAATCGCGCCAATTAAATTTCATCGCTGTCGCCAACAACGCTTTTCGCTATAAACCGGAGATTTTGTTTCCTTAAATCAAAACCACGTTTACCCGTTCGTCGGGTAGGGTCTAATTTGTGTGCTTTTCAACGATACTCGCGATAAGGCAACAACGATCGAATGAAACGACAGAGGGGTCGTAAAGGCAGTTTCCGAATGAAATGCCATCGCATACCAGTGGGCAGGAGGCTGACAGTGGCCGCAGGAGCAGTGTGCAAGATGCCGTCGGGTGTCAAACGGACCCCGCAGGTCCACAGTCCTTCCTCCTCGTACAGTATGTTCTTGAATCGCACGGAACAATCGTGCTCGGCGTCCTTGTTCGGGCCGAACTTCTTAACCAGCAGCGGTTCCTTGCTCGAGTTCGACGCCCTCCACGACCACTCGCACTGTACCACCGGCTTGTTCGCCAGGCACCTCAGAAAGACCGACTCGCCGGCAGCAACCTGTACTCCGCGCGACAGCTGCACGAACTCGACTATAAAAGGGAAACGAAAGCTCTCGGTGGGTTTTTCGATCGTCCGAGCTACTCTGTGTGTGACGCCGAGTGTGCGATACCGGATAAAGCGTCGGATAATGAAATTGTGATACTTCTCGCCGGCGAGTGTGAAAAAAACGTGATGTGAAAAGGTAAAATATTTAACTATCGATCTCTCGCGTGACAGAGAAAAATATGATTTTACTGGCAAGAGAAGCGATCACTCGGTTTACTTTTTTCTTCCTCCAAATGATATTTATCCTTAACGAGGAACATTCTCGTGACAAAGTAGTCGAAAGGAGGATATATTCTTTCTTCAAAAATGTGAACTTCATCGAAGAGAAGTGAAATTCGGCTGATTTGAATAAGCGAACCGAAATGATCGTTATTGCAAATGCGAAAGAGCGATGAAGTGGAAAAAGAAGAAACAACGATACCTTCCGATATGAGAAATCGGACGGGAGTCGACTGGGTGAAGGAGGAATTCGGGTCGATTCGCGCACCGCAAGTCCAGTAGCCTTCCTGCTCAGGCAGGACGTTCTTGAACTTGATACTGCATTCCGTGCTGTCGTTACCGAAGGCTGGAAACGATTTCACGTCGAGGTTCCAGGGCTGCGACTGGTTCAGTTGTCGCCAGGACCATTGGCATTCCCGAACCGGCGACTTCGTCTGGCACATTATCTGCGCCGAGGATCCCGCCGGCACCTCGATGATATTTTCATGCTTCGTGAACGTAATGAGGATGCCTGGAAGATACGAATGCACCGGTTGCATTCTCCGATAGTTCTTATGCAACGCCTTTTACCTCGCACGATCGCATATATACGTACAATAGGAGTATCCTTAAAGCATCGGACAATGTTAAATAATTAATCTTTAGGCAGACGTGTATCGAGACATTCGTCAATATGACGAGTGACGAGTGGCATCTCGCGTCGTTCTTGATACGGGAAATATTGTGACAGTGGGTGCGAGTGACGGAGACAAACAGCAAGCGTGTTTTGTCACGAAGAATTCGAGGCCAACCGAGGCGCAACTGCGTAAATATATCGCGATTATTCGCTATTTCTCAAAATATGAGAAAGTACACGACGAAAAGGTAAAAAGCGATAGCGTGATGCTTTGTCAAATGTTCAAACTGATCGACCGATCGATCGAGAGAGAGAGAGAGAAAGAGAGAGAAAGAAACTCGATGTAAAAAATATATATACATTGTATCGTACATATGCGATATACAGCCTCTTCTCGATAAAAATATCCGAGATACGGTGAAAAGATGGCGCGAGGTCATAGAAATTTAGCTAAAGTACGATAATTCAGTTTGGTCGGTCGAAATTATCGTGCGGTCGTAGTGAGCAAAGGTTTTAAAAATAAAACATGCCCTACCATGATTAGCATTGATAATGCCGAGCTTGGCCGGTTCGGTGCTGGTGAAAGGATCTTTCGTGGAGACTCTCGCCGCGCAGGTCCAGTATCCCGTTTGCTCGTGCTTGGTGCTAGAGAATCTCACCGAGCAATCGTTGCTATTATTCCCGAACGCTGGAAACTGTCGTACTGGCAGCGGGTGGGTCGTGGGAGTCGCCGTAGTCGAGATCGATGAGATCGCCGTGGCTGAAATCACCGATGGATCGCGAACCGCTCCGATAAATATTCAGCGCGTAGTTACAGAAATTACGGATGATTAATGCCTTCGATATCCAGCATGGAGAGATAAGCCGTCAATAAGAGTATTTTTGTCGCACGAACGAATTTCAACAATGACCGCGACGATTCGCTGCGATCTTCTTATATTAAACGGGAGGAGAAAGGTATGTTTTTCGTATCGAAGGAGAGATGATGTTTGGCAAGTATATATCATCTAATGGTTAATCTAACGCGACAAATCGATCGACTGTACTGTAATCGGAGTAACTATTATTTTTAAATAAATTAAAAAAAAATACCGGCTCATATAACGAACTTTGTTAAGTTAAAACTTCTCGAAATCAAACTAACATAATTGAAAGTTAGGTCAGAATTAAGTTAACTTGTTGATTATGCAAAAGCATGCGTTACGATGATATCACGAAAAAATCGATTTCTCCTTCCGAAGGTTTTCGGATACGAAGATAGCGTAGGTACGAAGGGGTTCGTAAAAGTTCGCGGAGGATCAAGCGGCGGAAACGGTCGGTGCTTACTCGTAGAAATCGGCGGGCTTTCACTGACGTCCGGAAGCGGCAGGTGAACCGGCGGCAATGGCTGCCAGGACCACTGGCACTCGGCCACAGGATTGCCGGTCCGGCATGCCAACAGCACGGACGAGCCGAGCTCGGTTTCCGTGTGCTCCGGGACGTCGACGAACACCACGGAGGTAGGCGGCGGCTTCGTCCCTGGCATTACGTCGTCCATGGAATGGCCCTTCGTTTCAGGAACGGCGGTCTCTTCCGCGACATTTGCGGCGTCACCGATCGTGCTCTTGTCGACGGGACTATCGTCGGCCACGGGAAGCCCTACGTATCAGATAAGTGTAATCGTAAATCATTCAACGCTACCTCTTCGTTTGCTCGCTATTTCGAGCGTATACTCGATTATGAAGATGACCTTCTTCAGCGAGTAAAGGCACCAGTGATATATTTCAAGGAGGAAACGGAGGAAAGAGAGAGAATACTGCTCGGTTAAAATGGCGGATAAAGGTAATCGATGGGTTGAAATGTAGCAAAGAGGCGAAGACGGGTCTTGCGGACCGTCGGGGAAAATCGGTGAAAACGCGACCGGGAAATTTCGCGGCGGAGAAGACACGGCGCGAAGGAGAACTTGAGCGAACGGATATGTGGGACACGATGGGCAGGAAGCTACGGCCGTCACGTAGACAATCACCTTGCGCCGCGCGTCTGTCACCGCGTGCGGATACAATCAGGGTCGGATCGATAGACAGTGAGAATCGTCTTCAAAAGCAAAAGTAACGTTTCCGTGTACCCGCAACTGTGTGCGGAAACGGTCGAACTTACGTAACCGTGTGCGAGTTATGAATGCACGGCGCAGCGCTGAAGCGTGCCTAAATGTGCGGATTATTTTGTCTCGAATAGTGTAAGCACGCCGATAGGATAAGTAAATAAAATCGTAATCTTTTCAGTTAATGGTGGGCTGCGAATAAATTTCTACGACCGTGGGAATTCTTAATAATACGGCCGATTCGCGGCCGATTTTGTTATTTAAACATGAAGCCGACCATTTTGTTTTTAGGCTTTAAAGCCTTATTGAAAAGTGTAAAATTCACATTTATGCGCGCATAGGTGTGAACACTTCCCTACCAAAATATACGGTAGTCTTATGAAAGTTATTACATATTTCCTTGCACATTTCTATTTTCCGAGACGTACAAGGATTCGAAAAACTAGGCCCGAAAACTGACACACCCGAGATGTCTATAGGGGAATATTAAAAATGTAAGATAAAAGTGAAAAATTCATGCTTCCATAATCAAAGCTCAACGATCCTTCTTTCTGCATACATTCGCATGCTTCTTAACGCGTTCCCCGTGTTAGCGTAACGCGACACTTTAGCGGGTCGTTTTAAATACACCAGATTTCTTACCGCTTCATCATCCGCTCGCGAGAAAAGAAGGAGGAAAAGAAACGATACACTCTCGAATCGTTTTCAATCGGCGAGTTCCGCGCGAGGATTCGTAACAACAATACAATGGCGAAACGCGGGGATTTCTAAAAAAAATTTGGAAAATCGCGGATCGCTGAAGCGTCGAAGACAAAGCGTCCCTGCGATCGTACGCTTTCTACATGACGGGTATGTAGTACGCGCGCGATTACTTGTCCGAAGTTGGTCCTTGGTATTGTCGTCGAGACGAGCGCAGTGGTCGCTGACACTGGAAGGTCGTCTCCACTTTACATTGACACACTGATCGGCGTACGGTTTTACGGTGTTACGTGCGGATCGATTAGGCCGATCGCGGGAATCCCCTCGCAGACTTCCCCGTTAACACTGAGACGGTTTCTTCGCGAAGACGTCTTTTAGACGTTTAAAGAACGCCTTTAGGAGCTACGTGTTGTTCGAGCAATTTCGCAAGAGCAGCGACACGCAGTGAGCTGCCATTCGATCGACTCGGCTTGTCGACGCGAATGTTAAAGTGAGATTGAAGGAAAATTGGAGACGAAGTTATCGCGCCGGTGTCGAACTTTCCCGCTCACTTGATAGAGCGCGATCGATCCGGCCGGGGATTTTCGGGCGGAGGAAGCGCGCACATTCCACCGAGTTACGGCTAACTTTCGTACACTTTCTTCAGCAGATACACGCCGATCGGATTGAACGTCGGGTTCGGCGGGTTGTCGGCACGCTCGATTAAAGGCCTGATATTCGCTCTAAGCTCCGCTCGATCGAGACGCGTCCCGAATTCGTTTTTCGGGAGGGCGGAACGGCAGGAAGCCGTGACTAATAGCGCAACGATGGAATTTCTCATCCCAAGACCGTCGGCCGTAGATGAGACACGTAGTCAGGTGGGATCGATTGGCCAGCGAGGAGGAGAAAGAGAGAGAGGATCGGAGGTCGTCGTAATGAATCTCGCTCAATAATTAAGAACACGAGTGAGACGGGGTCGTTAACCCGCGAATAGAGAGTCCGACGTGATCGCGATTCATTCGAGACCGACTCGATCTTGTCTCTTTTGATCGATTCGTCTCGGCTTTTCTCGCGAAACGCGATGTAGCCGCGGTGAAGGTGATAATGTCGGCGAAAAGAAAGCTAAATACAACGCGAGAAATTGGTAGGAGGAAAAGTCGGAGATACTTCGCGATAAGATTGACTCGATTAAAATGCCGACTATAAGTGAATCATCGGCGAAGAATTAGAAGTGAGATTGAGGCAATATGCGGCAACAAACCCGAGAATTGCCAGTTTCTATACATACAGGGTGTCCGACGCAAGCCGTCCCATCCGTCATATTATATTGTAGTTTAGGGCAATGTGAATGAAAGAGTCCTCTACCATTTTGCGAACAACCACGTCGAGTTTCAAGTAAAATTCATTATCGAAAATGGCCATGCATAGAGAGGCTTAATTAATGACTCGAACATTTTTGCGTGCTTCTCTGCAAGATGATATTTTCTGCTCAGAATGATCCAATCCACAAGTATATCCCAAATTTCCCGCGGTTGTTTGCAAAGTGTCAGAGGACTTTTTTATTTGCACATTAACCTAAACTACAAGTGTATGACGGATGGCTTACGTCAGACACCCTGAATAATACCTCTTTCGAATAAGGAAGTGTGTGTGTGTGTGTGTGTGTGTGTTAAGAATTTTACCGCGAGATTTTCCCGCGGATCTAATCCCACCAACATCACCAATTCTATTATTTCCGCGATACGAAAGATCGTTAAAGAGAATGCAAATCGTCAACGTGCATGAGTCAGAAAATGTGCGTGCTTTAAGCAGTTATCTATGCGTGAGTTATCTTCCGGTGTTGATTAACGTGGATGTTTAACTGGTAATTGCGGAGATTATTAATTGTTACGGCGGGTGGCGCAGTAGCAACAACGTTAAACGTAACTAACTCGTTCTTGTGATGATTGAAAATCGAATACGTAAAAATTATATCACGTTATTGATAACGCGAAAACGTTATTAATAAATCGTTATGGCCGCCTCTTGGGATCGCTTTATCGTTATTGTAAAGATTGTTGATCAACTTGAGAAATCAATTCTGAACAATACTGAAAGTAAAAGTGTTCGAGTAAATATTTTGCTAAGGAATATTAAAGTAATTATTTTACCATTGGAGCAATTATATATCGCTAAGGAATATCGGAGTAATTATTTTACGTAATTCGAGTAAGATAATCCTCCGAAACTTCTTAGCGAATACTCACTTGAATGTAGCCTTTTTGCTTTTAATGTAAAACAACTGCAGAATTGTCTGGAGATAAAACGGAAATTGCAAAGAAGGTATTCGTCAAGTTTTTCACAATGTTACCGCAAGCGTATTATTTCGTAATATTTATGAATTACCACGCCTTTTACTATCTCGGTCAGTCGCGGATGAAGTTCCCTTCGAGGAAGTGTCCCATTCATTCAACACTACAAGGAAGATGCGAAAAGTATCCTCGGTCCAAACCCAAGATTTATCACTGGAAAGTCATTCAAATTCTACGATTAATCTTACTGCGTCAGCCATTTCCTGCGAAGCATTCGACGTCATCGACGAGATGCCTTCCTCTCTCAATAGTCTCTCCCTATTTAAGACTACGTTCGGTGCCTCGTTTTACGTATATACGTTTCCGTTTTAGTTTCCCTTCTCCGCGATCAACCTCGGAAATGCACACGGTTGATCGACGGAGCCCTTCGGTTTCCTGTCGACGGATCGACTCGCCGCGAATATCAATCGATCGCACCGTTACGACCGACGGCCGAAGATTCATCGCCATCTCACGTTTGTTTCCGCTCGCGAAATTATTTTTACACGCTTCCTCCGCGACCTTCATCGCTTGCATTTGATATGCCATGCACTGATGTAATCTTATTTAACTCTTGTCCTTTTTTGCTCTCTTTCTCTTTAATTTTTTTTCTCTTTCTCTGCTGCCAATACTATAATTGTCTTTATTACAGGACGCCGTTTTTTTCAGAACCTGGAATAATAATTAACGGATTTGCTTCTCTCTCTCTCTCTCTCTCTCTCTCTCGCTGCTCCTCTCTGTCGTTTCTTCACGCCCGGCTGACTCCGTGCCGAGGTATGCGCACGTCCATTTTTTATATTTACACGACGACGACGACATTGACGCCTTGAAACCTGAGAATTCCGTAAACGGCGAGACGCGAGCCTGACGCGAGAGAGCCGCGGATCGTGTCAAGGATATGCAAGAATGCATCCTTCGTCCGCAGGACTCGGCTCGTTACTTTATGTTAATCGCCGGCGCGCGCCACCATTTTCGCCGGTATCGTTATGAAATACCGCGCACCTACGATTATGCGTTTGGCCGATCCGTTGAACTTGCTCGACTCGACTCTCCTCCGTCGGCGATTATCCAACTCGCGTCGTCCGCAAAAACGTCGCAACTTCCAGTCGCGGGGGAAGTTACCTTCATCGTTCCGACCGAGAGAAGACGAACATCGTCCCCGGCGCGAGATTTATGCGAGCGCTATCAAACGCGACGGATGAAAGCGCGGAAAAATTCAGTGTATCGAGGAGATTAATTCCGCTTGTTCGATCGTTTAACGCGCGTCAGAGAGCGAAGTGGACGCACGCGAGCCGCGGGTAATTTATGTGTGCCATTATGTATGATATAAATCGCATGGCTCGCGAGTGTACACACGGCGTCATGTATGCCTTCCCGAGATCGGAAATTATGCGTTTCTCAGCCTCGCACGTAAGGTCGAAACCGTTTTAATTAGAGCCGTTATGGGCAATATTCAAAGTAAGATCTTATATCTAAGACAAGTTGATCTTCAAATGTTTCGTAGCCGATGAAACGATCCAAGTATCTGAAAACGAACTTGAGTCGAACTGAAAGATAAAATCTGTGAATATAAAATCTATGAATATCGGCCTATGATCCTACTGTTGTTATTAGAGTTTATGTAATTTTCGATCTTACGAGTAAGCTTATAATCTCGATTAAAATATTTTAGTGTCATTCAAACACAGCGGTATCTTCTCTGCAAAAATTAAATATCAAGCTCCCTTTTGATTCCCAGGACGGAAAGTGACGATGACATCGAAACGACGTTGAAATAACATCAAAATGATTTGAAAAACTGATTTTTCGATCATTTTCCATCATTTTGATGTTGTTTTGACGTTACTTCCCACCTGGGATTAACGTTTAGCACATGACGGAAATAAGAGCTAAGTTTTGATTTTAATTGCTTTATCCTGTGATAAACACAGGATAATTAATTAATTTAAATTCAGGATGTAATTTCGACCGGCGTGTTATTTCACCAAATTAACAATGGCGTTCCATTCACGTAAATTTGTTTTACGTTCCAAATGCCGCTGCGTTTGAATAACACTTGAAATATTGTTTTCTCGAATAATCAGCAGCCATGAATATCCGGGCACGATGTGATTGAAAATTTCTGGCGACCCCAGCGAGTGTCGAGAGAGCAACGGTCGCGGTCTGTGTGTCGACAGTGAAACGGCTTGCTCGATCTACTGGCGCGTTCGGTTAATCGGCGCTTGCTATTCCCGATGTCCAGGTTACTCAAGCAATACCTGGGTAGCAGTCGCAGGCGCGTCATTTACCTCATTATTCCGCGACCGTCTAATCATTTTTCCGCAAAAACATCGCGGCGCGCCGTCGCACGCGCGACGATTTCGTCTGTGAAAATATTTGCCTTGCGATACCGCATTCGCTGGCTGTTTTCTCGCTTCCATACTTATACGATGCAAATTTCGGAAAGGTGGATTTTTCAGCCGAAACGAAGGTTCGCCGGCCGTCGTCGCTTTCACGTCGCCGAAAAGAATGGGAATAATGACGATAATTGATGTATAGAACAGGGCCTCTCTCAGGGGCGGCTCTTTGTACTAAGCGTCGATGCTGGAATGATAATCGCAAGCCATTCAACGTGAGTTTCGGCGCGGACTCTCGCCGCTCCTTTTTCCATGCCTCCTCGTAAAGCACGCGATAGCGTTGTCTCGGCGCGGCGCTCCCGGCGCTCCGAAAGAACTGGTTCTCCCTCCGGAGGGTGGTTAAACCCGGTGCAATGCGTGCATTTAGTGAAACATCGCGCTGGAATGCAAACACGTGTGGTAGGGAAGGGTAGGTAGGTGCGCGCCGATGGGAGAGAGCCGGAATTCGTACGAATTCCTCACCGCGCGAGATGCGCTTCGTTCACCAGAGTCCCTCCGTGTTTTACGTGGAGGGAGTGACGATTTTTTTCCCCGCGATATCGTCACGACGCCCCGTCGATCGGAGGAACACTCGGAGTCTCTCAAGTCCGGGCATCTTTGACTTCTCGACCGAAAGTGGCGTCTGATTTGTAACCTCACTGGAGTATCTTCGTCCGTGTGAAGTTGTTTATCCGGCTCGCTCTTACGAGGGCGGTTAAACCTTCGCGGAGAAGCGACGAAGAGATCGCGGCCGCTCTGACGATGCGTTTCGCTCTGATTCCGACACCGCGTGAAAGATCTCGGCATGATTTCGCTTCGCCTTTAACGCGCAGCGAAAATCGCCGATTTGTTATTCCGACGACGCGCGCGACGAAAGTGAATCCGTCGGGATTCTAACTGCAATGACCGTTCGGATTGTTAAACTTACGGCCGACCTTCGTCTTTGATTTTTCCTCTCTTGAGTGATCGCTTGAATGATCTTTCCTATAAAATCACGATTGTATTATCGGACATTGATCGTGATTTCTTAACGCAACGAAAATCTCACGATTATAAATTATCATTACAGCTGTAATGCGGTAAGATGATGTAATGCGTTAAATTGATAAGTGTGAAAGTCGAGACGATGTAAAAGAGCACCGAGAGGATGATTTTCGAATCGAAAGGAGCATTCCTGCGAAATTGGTCCTCAATTTTCGTACGGCGCGTCGCCCGCTCCGTTGGCGTGCTGGCGAACTCGTTAATGAAATGCAATCGTCGTACCTGGTGAACGTAGAGAAGGAGAAAAGAGATCCCGAAACGCAGATCGCGCGCGCGCGAGAGACTCGCCTCGAGCTGGTTTCACTGCCAAGGTGAATCCATCGAAGCGCGTAGAAGACTCGCGCGATATCGAAATGCTTTCTCCGCTGCTTCCACCGATGAAATTTTCGGACAGCGCATTTCCCGCGCACATTCATCACGGCGCAAACGTTGTGTATGAAAATTGCGTCGCCTCGCGTCCCACACGAGGTGCCCTCGCGACAGTGATTTCGAATGCAATCTTGGTATGACGGTCTAAGGCTGTACGCGGCCCTTGGCGGGGTTGAGGCCTCCGGAGTCGTAAAAACGACTCGTGGCATATTGATTCCGCGTTCTACACACACAGGATACGTTGTTTACCATTGTTTCTTACCGCCTGTTGACATTCTTAGATAGCAGCCAATTAGACGAATCACTGTTCGACGTAATTTCCCGCAAACATTGGAATTATGTAATCTTGAAGATGACCTTGGAAAACCGGGAAAAATGTTGAACGCCGGTAACGTTGCCCTTCTTTTCGCACAATGTCTACCGAGATCATCGGATGTGATAATTACACGCTACGAAAGAATCTCAAGTTTCGATATGTTTGTATTATAGATGGATTCGTTCGATTTCAAGTGAACTCTGTTTTAAGACTGACCGCGGTGAACGACGGCAAAGTGAGCGGCGAGCGAGCGAAAAAATAGAGATTCTAAGACCGTGTGCGAGAAACAAAACCGAAAGACGGCGAACGTTAAACTTGGAGAAACGATCGGTTGATTAGCGTTGCTCTCGATGACTCGGAAGACACGCTAGATTATTCGATCGCCTTCTAACATGGCACACTTACAGAGCCGCCGGTACACCTGTCGTCGAGCGGAGAGAAGAAAAGAATTTTCAGGAACTACGTGCGCAGAACGGCGCATCCTGCGTTACGTAATGCTTTAATCTTCACCGCGAATCCTTGTAATCGTCCAATTACGTAAGTAATTTTCGTCGATGCGATTAATCGAAATTCTGTCGTTACCGCGACGGGTGGCCTCCGTCCGTGCGGGCCGTCGATTTACACAGCCCCGTTTGGAAATAAGTATCGATCGTCTTAAACTCGCTGTTTTACGATGTTACGTTTCGATCGGAAACTATATCGGGAGAGCGCCAATTAGAATGCAAATGATCGCTCGTAACTTAGAGGTGATAACGAGCCTTGTCCAAACCGTAATTCAAGCTTGCTTTCCTGGGAACGCCGCGAACGATTAGCGCAATGTTCGGAGATAGCCGTGAATTATTGAGGCTAGCATTTCAATTCAGATTATCTAGAAATTTAGGACAGGTCCTGCCCCAAGTGTCCTCCTTTTCTTATTGTTCTTTCTCACGTATGCTTGTCACAATCTACGCTTCAATATTAATTCGATCATAGTTGATCTCGCTGCCGTCATTCAGTTATGTTAATCAGCGAATAAGTGATTTATGCCGGAACGTAGAAATCATATCGCCGCGAGTTGAGTGAAATCGACGAGATATTTGTGTCATTCAGAAGTCAACATTGTTTCGCGACGTATACGTTTCTAAACGGTCACGAGATTTCTTTTACGATTCAGTTAGCAAAGAGCAAACAGTGGTTCAGTGAGGGAACTCGTTTCCGAAAAAGTATTGTAATATTTCAATATTCTTGCTTATCCCTATTCTTGCCTCTTATATATATAAAAATATCTCTCATTGACTTAAGACTTTTTCCATGTATTATTACGATCTACGTATATATGTAGTTCCACGGAAAAAGATCGCATTTTTATTATTCGAGAATAATTTTTACCAACAACCACCATGCTCGCGATAGAGCTCGCTTAAAATCACGCAATTTAATATGCATATTTATTGTGATCTATCTTTTTTCATTTAGAAGATAAAAGGGAGCGGCTGTTTATAGCGGGACACCCTGTATATAAGAATACGAGTCCCGAATTGATACTAATTTTCTTTCCAACCGTGCACCAACGGAGATCTCTCGCGTACTCACCGTGGCAGACGCCAAGGGCCAGCAAGGTGATCCAGGTGACCATCATCTTGGAGAAGGCGCGGGACGTCATCCGCGACGGCCGCGCATTTATCACGGGCGACGAGACCGAGTCCTGGAGCGTCCTGGCGCACGTGCACCGCCGAGACGCTTGCTCGCGTGCACCCGTCGAGCGATTACGCGTGTTAAGGGCGCGCTGCTCCCCCTTTCTAGTGTCTACCTTCCGTGAATTTCCACCTGGTCACTACCTGACCTCAGCTGACGGATACACCACGCTCTCGTTCTCGGCGATGTCACGCGCTCGCGAGATCTGTCGCACGTTCCTCGGACGGATCTTAAATGGACAACGGAAAGAAGATGAGAGACGCTCGAATGGTCCTCGGCGCGACATCACAACCGTCGTCGTTGTGACCACACAATATAGTTATTTTCGGGGACGACAATATCTTCCCTTTTTTTTATTCCAACCCGAAATATTCAACGAAAATAATAGCACATGCGCGTAAGGTTGTTATCACTAATACTAAACAATATACACTTACTAGAAAAAATAGTTTCCTTGGCCCTTTTAAAATGGTGGTTAAAATGAAGAAAGGATATTATTGCCCACGAAAATAATTATATTTTTCTCTCGGTGTACGTGTACCGAATATTTCGCAAACGCGTTCGGAATTGTCGTCTTGCATTCGATCGATTTTTTGTCGAAGATGCGTCGATTAATAATGAAGTATGAAGTAATCAACGAAATATCTTAATCCCTATCGGAACATAATCTAGGTGTTTTCTACTTTCCCGGGTACTTTTCGTCTGAAAACTTTTCGTCGTTGGCTAATTGCAGGAACGACTTTTTATTCTAATAAAGATACTCACATGAAGAGAAAGGATCGGTTGAATTAATACGATAATGAGAATAAACCGGATGCCGTTTTGGTCGAAGGAAACAGAATTTCTAGTCCTAAGAACACGGGGAAAATATCGTAGTAGAAATTACCGCCAAATTTTGTGATATTGGACCATGCCGGAATTATGACTGAAATTATTATGCGTGTTGTAATCGTCGGTTGCATTACTAAAAAATTACAACATATACCGCAATTTCCGCCATAATTCCGGCGCGGTGCAGCACTATAAAATATTCTGATAACTTTATACCGCAATATTTTCCCCGTATACGTTGCATCGTGCATAGTAAAAGTCGTTTACAAAGATCTCACAAGATCTCTCCGAGCACCAACTAATTATCGATATTTCTCCTGGCTCCTGGTTTCGAGATCGATTATTCGCCGTGGAACCACTGGGAAAGCTCATTCGAAAATTCAGAATCGATCGGTTACTCAAACACGCGTTACGTCCTATCATTACTCACTGGTATGATCCGTCAACTCGCGGAACACTCGCTCCCTGGCTCGATCTCGAGCGATCGTAAGAGGAGAGAACGAAGGAGAGCTTCCGCCCTAACGACCGGTGCGTACAATCATCCGAGTGTCACGAGCCGAGCGGTTACGTGGGTACAACGGAAGGAAACACTTGGAGATTGCTCGTTCGCACGATCGCACGGGTGTCCTCGCGAGGCATCTGTCGCATATGAGTAGGCAGGTGAGTCGCCGGGCGCGACTTCGAGACCGCGGATCTCGCTTCGGTCCCGCCAAAACTCCCGGACGTTCCCGACGATGAGATCGCGTCCAGCAGGCAGGGTGCTCGCGGGGGGGCCCTGCGATCCGTCACGGATCCTGTGTGTGCGGTGAATCCGGCGCGCGCGGACTGTCGAGGCGCGTGCTCGCTGGTGCGCCGATTGCAACTGCCGTAGGCGGACGATGCTCGGCGGCCGCCGCGTTCTAACGCGGCCGAGTGGAGGGGCCGGTGTTACCTGAGGTACGTGCGTGCCGTGGGAGCCAGAGGGACCCCTACCTTACCCTATCCACCGACGAGGACTCTACCGAGACTCGTCACCTGTGACTCCACCTCCCACCTGACGGTGGATACCTTCCAAGGGGATAGCTCCTCGCGAAAGACGAGTCGCGATAAGGTGTATCCGCCCGACGAGACATTCCTAAGCAGACCCGCTTCTCTCTCTCTCTCTCTCTCACTCGTTAAACGGCTTTTACGAGAGACGGGAGTCGCTTCGCGGCACAGAAATCGCCGCGCGGATGTTATCGACGGCTTCGCGAGAGGATAGCGCGCGGCCTTGTGCCGAGCGGTACTCTTCGACCAGAGGTGTCACGCGACTGGAGGACGGAACGTTCGGACGAGACGGATTTCGACATCGTCGTCGTCGGCACTGCACCCTAAAGAAATATTCGCCTGCAACGGAGTCGATGACTCGGATATCGCGACAGCTTGATCGCGTAGCTCAACAATGCCTCGGTGAAAAATCCTAGTAAATATCAACTACTCTGGTATTGAACCACGCCGGCGTTTAGCTGCGAGGTAATGTATTTTTCTAACGTCTAACGCCGCTACCTACCCATTTGAGAATTTTCAAGTGGTTTCCAATGGGAATCCAAGGGAACTCGTGTGAATCCATATGAAATATTGGATATATAATAGCTAGATTAGGTGCTTTCCATTCAGTAACACAAGTGTCGACTTGTTTTACTACATCCTTTGTTACTCATTGAATACGGAATAAAGAGAAAATGATGGTTGCGTCGATTTGTGTCAAAATGAAATTCGTGAACATTTTCAAGTTCCCGCCGGAGGCTCGTAATATCTCCTCGCTCATTGTATTTTCCTGATACCAAAACGTTGAAAATTGACTGAGAAATTCATGAAAATTTCCAAATCCCTGCCGGGAATTCGTAATACCTCTTTGCTCATTATATTCCTCTGATACCAAAATATGAAAAATTGGCGGGAAAGACAAATTTGCTAAAATGTTCAAATTCCCGCCGGAAAATTGTGATACCTCCTCGTTCATTATATTCACCTACTAAAACGTGAAAATTGAAAAAAAAAGAGAAATTCATGAAAGTAATACCTGTTTTACGTTTTGGTATTAGGAGAATATAACGTGCGTAAAAACGTAATATTAAATTCCGGCAGGAAATTTGAGAACTTTCGTAGATACTGATGTAAAGCAATAATGAATAATCCAATAAGACATCTCAGGTTATGATTAGAACGATCGAAGGGACATTATAATCCAAAATTGCAGGATTGATGAGTAAGTGGATCGTGACACGATTTCAACGAGTATAATAACAACACTTTAATGTAGCAATTTAACTGATACACAAGTGATACGTTCTTATTTATAGTAAACAACTAGCAATAATTATCACTTACAGTAAATATGTATAAGGCGCGAAGCAAATTAAAATGTTTTCTTTTTTCTTATAACACCTCACGATCACCATGTACAAACATTAATATCTTACCGGTGTCCCGCTGTCGGTACGAGAACGTAAGGAAACGGAGAGTGCGCTTTAATTTTCGTATTATTCGTTTTGTACGACGTTAGCATGTATTATCACACATACGTTACACCGCGTTTTCAAAGAAACGAAGAGAAACGAACCGACGATAAATCAACTGTGCGTGTGTCCCGAATCGGTGAAATCAATCGGTGTAATGAACGACCCGCGCGGATTGACACTGCCACAAAACTGCGCAACTTTCGCATCGGCCGCACCGACGATCGCGTGTTCCAAATGGAAAAATTGCACTTGCGACTTGCATAAAACAATTACATTGTCGAATGAGAAATTATACACTAAAAGAAAAAAGTGTTACATTCATGTAGATATTTGTTGAGGAGCGTATCGGAATAATTATTTTATTCAGATTAAGTAAATATTACTTGAATGTAACACTTTTCTTTCAGTGTGCCACGCTATAAGGGATGTTCACTTAATCCAAGTAAAATAATTCCAAGTAAAATATTCCAATACTCCTTAAGAGAGATTTGTTGAGGAGCGTATCGGAATAATTATTTTATTTAGATTAACTCTTTCGGTACATTTGACGAGTGAGACTCGTCATTTGCTTACTTGGGCATAAAATGTATTACTTTTACACATTAATCCATATAGCGACAAATTAAATCCGTCCCATGGGCATAAAAATCTCAAAATAATTCAGTACTTAAAGGGTTAAGTAAATATTACTTGAATGTAGCACTTTCCTTTCAGTGTGCTACGCTATAAGGGATGTTCACTTAATCCAAGTAAAATAATTCCAAGTAAAATATTCCAATATTCCTTAAGAAATATTTCTTTAAATATAGCACTTTCTTTCATTATAACATTGCTGTAATGTTACCGTTGGCTGATGTTTACTATGATATCACCGTCGAGCGATTCGCGGGGATTAATCGAGCGAGCAGTGCGCGCGCGCGCGCGATCTACGATACGATTTTTCGAACGGTTCCGAGGAAAGGAGGGGGGTATTTAGTCTAATGGGACGCAGCACGCATCCGGAAACGGAGTAATGCGATCGAATCTTGCCCTCCGCTATGCCGCGAAAGAATATCGCGCGTAACCGGATGCGCGGCCATCTCTCCTCGATCGGAGCGCGTCGATATTCTCCGCGCGGATAATGTTCATCCCCGCGAGGCACAACAATGTGCATTTGCGGTCACGGAACATTAACGCGATAACGGGACTTTCATTACGAGACGTTGTGCGTGACGATTAAATAATAACGCGTCGCGTGAGAGGACGCGGAGCGCTCGATGGAGAGAGAACGGCGTTTATTTCACTCCAGGGCGAGCCCTCCGAGCAAAAATCAAATGCACGATGGAGTCGGGAAGAAATAACATCGCGTTCAATTAAAGATCATACGTTAACAAAATGATAATTCGGGAACAAAAAATAATAAGAAAAATAAAGCCGTGAAAAGGATAAGCTGTATAAAAAAATTAAATTAAATTATACGTATAAAAGGAAAGATTGAGTTAATACATGATAAGATACATGATATGATTGAGTTAATATATGATAAAATAAATATATGTAGAGAAAGAGAGAGAAAATCCGTCCGTTGAAATTTCATCGAGCGGCGCAGCTGGAAAATCGTTCGCGAGAGAAATCACGTCTCGGGGGGACTCTCGTCGGAGATAGCGTTCTCGTTTCTTTCTCGGCGGTACGGGTGTGTTTGATCGATAATGACGGCGGACGAATTAGCGGCCACGTGTTTAGCGGCATACGCGGGACACGTCGAATTTGGTCTGCGAATTTGTGCCCCGCGGGCAAAAAAGGCGAGGGACCGTTCGCGAGGATGTCGGGAATACACGCCGCTCTCTAATTCGTCGGTACGGAGTAAGTAGATCGGCTCGAACCGTTGCCAAGTTTGTGCAAGTTCAAGGCTCCGAGGGCGGCACGGATACCTCCAAGGTCATCGAGTGTGCAAATACCGTGATTATAGTCGCGCAAGTGTGGCAGCTTTCTCATTGTCGGTCGAGATCTGACATAAGTGCCGACGCACCGTCAAAGTATATCGGAGAAGAACCTGGCTGATGCTATATAATCGGCTTAATAGCGCGCTACCATTGCCTGCGATCCGTCCGGTGCGTTCATATCATGTCGCTCGCGATGAGAGAAAGAAAGAGAGAGCAGCATTTATTACAATCCTGGGGCACGCCGTTTAAGGGCAAAAAGTAATTATTTATATAAGTCAGAAAGAAAAAGAGAAAAAAAAAACACGAAGAAGGAAGATAAAATTAAAGATAAAAGTATGCAAACGATTAAGAGTGAGAAGAAATATAATCAACAGTGGATAAGCGGGTAATGATGACGAAAATTCAAAGAGAAGTCGACATGAGTAAACAATAGGAAAGAAGTTTACGTACAAAGATAGAGGTAGATATGGAATATAATATTGAATGGAAACTGAAAGAAAGAATTCTGTCGGTCCCCGAGGCTCGGATCGCCAATTACTCAATGGAAATAACAGCGTTAGTCATCGCGCTCGCGACTCATGCGCCTGAGTCACGCGATGTCCGAATTTTCAGTCGCGGCTGCAGCTGCTTCTGAGAGCTGGGATTCGCTCCGAAAATTTCCGGCCGATTTCTAATTCCACGCGATCGTTCCACTTTGCCGATACGTCGGACAATAACTATCCCGAGGATCCGGAACGGAGGACGCGCACCGCCGGAGCATCGTGTACAATGACCGTGATAAGGCAGCCGGGAGGTATCGATCGGTGCGACGGTAATTATGCGGGCTAGAATCTACTCTCCGCTTTGTGCGTTTATCGTCGCTGGTACCATCGTGGTACCGCTTTCTAATCGATCTGCTATTTAACGATTCGCGTTCGATTCGCGTCCCGCAAATATACGATGACACAATGACGCGAGGCCGAATTGCAGAGGATGGATTCCTCTTCTGCGACCCGTCCTTGGGTAATCGCATAGCCGTGTTGAGAGTCAGCATGGCGCGCGTACGTCGCGCGTATGCGTTGGAAAAATTCACTTCATCCGTCTTCCCCCTCCCCCCCCCAAAGCAGAACATTTCTGTTGAATATAAGTCGAAGCAAACGGAATTTCTGGTCGTAAGGACCGGAAATTCGGTTTCCTTCGATCAGAACGCGGCGTTCCTTTTCCCAAGTTAATGATTTTTTTTTTTCCACGGAGGAAGCGGGACGACATTAATTAATGGGGTACTTTTCCGGTTTACGGATGGTTTACATCCTCGAGAAGAATTCTCCGCGTGCGTGGAGGAAGAGCTTACCTATTTTTCACCCGCGCGTAACACAAGCCTCGTATGGACGCGTAACGATATTTCGACGAACACTTGTATTTGCATAACGTTATCTCATTTTCTTTTTTCCGACGCG